CCATGCGCGCGCGGATGTCATCCATAGAATTAAGTCGGTGTGGCCTAACTCCAAGCCGTGTGTTCAAACGATGATTAATATTTAATGTGGCTTTTGTTGTCTTGTCTCTCCATGTCGCGTGATGGTTGTTAACGTTCTGTTATACCTCGTGTCCTTGTCCTAAACACGCCGACATTACGAGCACTTTGGGGCGCTACAAAGTGTTCACTTAAGCTACGGTCACAACCCGCCGTACGTGCTTTTTGTCCGTACGTTTTTTGGGAGGCTACGTCTGCTACGTTTTTTCTGAAAACGTAGGGGATTAAGGAGTGGCGTCGACGCACGTCAATCGCACGGTTGCGCAAGGTGTAAGACTGTGGTCTGCACGCCACGTCTGGCTGTGAGCGGTTGCGTGCATTGTACGTTGCGCAAGTGGTAATTGAGTTGTACGTGCTTACAACAACGTACGATCTCTGTGCGATTGCAACTTTATCGTAAGGAGGCCGTACTCACACGTGCTTCTTCCGCACGGCACGTACGGGGCACGCGCGTCGCTTGTACTCGCACCTACGGGTGCTGAATCCGCAGACCGCACGTAGAAAAAGTTTTACATGCACTTAAAGTTCTACGGCGTGTCTGCGTGCTCCCAAATCCGTAGGATTCCGTACGGAGGCGGTACTCACCACGTTTGCCCACGTTTTTGCACGTAGACAGCACGCAGAAGCACGTACGGCGGGTTGTGACCGTCGCTTTAGTGTCGAGAGCCTAGTGGTTAGGCTAATGGGCACGGGTTCGATTCCTAGAAGCAGCTTTGTGTCCTTGGGAAGGGCACTTTACACGGCCTTCCTCACTACACTTAGGTGTAAATGGGTACCTAGCTTCAGGTAAAATATGGTAGAAAGAGAGGGATGGGCTTCGCCATACAATATCATGTCTAAGGCCACACCAAGTAAATTTTATGGATGACGTCCTTTAGAGACCCTAAATCTAATGCGAGAGGGCGAAAAAAGACAAGAAGGGCCCTAAAAAACAAGATGCCTAGATTAGAAATATACTAAGAGATGACAAATGTTAGGACAAAAAATTGAATGAGGTGACACAGCTCAGTGTAACAAGCAAGAAGTCTTTTATTCATCATGAAAACAGCAATAAATCAGGTGAAACAGCAGTTGTCGTCCTGTGCTTTGGGGAGATAGATGGAGCGGTCAGCAAGTTTCTTCAAATGTGGCAGCATGTACCAAACTGAATTCCTAAAGGAAGTCATGATTTCCTTGCTTGATGCTACATAAGCTTTGGTCCGTACAAACCTATTTGCGGCACTGTCGTGACTCTTTGGTCATAGTTACAGGAAGCGGAATTTCCTGTTTTTTTCTAGGAACAGGCCAAAATCAATGCGCGCGCGGACGTCATCCATAAAATTTACTTGGTGTGGCCTAATGGCGGACAGACAGCGAAATTCAAGCTTGGCCTCCTGCGCCCTGGTTATTCGAGTGTGACGCAAGCTCTACTGCCGGCCAATTGGAAGCTAGGAAAGCCAAGTAATACGTATACTAGAAACTTAGGCCACAGCAAGTAAATTTTATGAATGACATCGACCAAACTCCAAATCGCGATAGGGCGAAGAAAAAAGGCGGGCCAAAAACAAGGTTCCTACATCTGTAAATTTTGGCACCATAAACCTTGTTTAACAAGAAATTTACATATGTTGTGCAGAGCTTTCCTACAACGGATGATAGCTCTTACAAGGGGGGTCAAGCGGGCGAGACATCACATTAAATTGACAGCTGGTTTCAAGAAAGATCTAGCAGTGTGGAGTACTTTTATCGAAAAATGGAATGGCAAGTCTTTCTTTATTCAAGAAGAATCGGAAGCTAGAGAGCGGATAGAGATATATAAATTTACATATGTTGTGCTATGTTAACTGCAAACTATTACAACATCTATTGCCACTGAAAAATAAATGTATTCAATCATTGTACAAATAAATGGTTTTGATTCAGTGACCATGACACATAAAACCTTGTTTTTTTGGCCCGCCTTGTTTTTTTCGCCCGCTTGCATTTAATAGATTTGGAGTCTGTGGATGATGTAATCCATAAAATTTACTTGCTGTGGCCTTAATTGCACCCAAACTAACAATATACATATAACGTTACATTTATATCATATGCACATACTATAATGCTTATGAAGGCGAAGCGGAGCCGCCCGAATTTTACGACCTCTCCGACTTACATATCACTACTTGGCGACCAGCTTTCCCATTGGCCATGAGTCTAGCTTTCGTAGCTTCCCATTGGCCTACAGTACAGGTAGCGTCACACGTCCAACCAATCAGGGCGCAGCAGGCCAAGCTTTAATTTTCCTGCCTGCCCGCCATTACACCGGTCTTCGCATACCGAGCATGTTTTTGGAGGTTTTTGCTCGATGATCGTCAAAAAGCAGCAAACTGCAGACCGAATCTCAGTTGGGAGGAGGTAAGGAACAGTTAGTGTTAATTTGGACGGCATGTCAGTCGGAAAAATGTCCAAAAATGGACGAGAAACTCTGCCGGCGTACGCAAGCACTCATATAAACATGGGGAGGGGGGCTGGCCTCGTCATGTTCAGATTGCGACATATTGTGACATATCTCGGCTTAAACTTGTCCGATTTAAATTTGGTTTCCACAAAAACGAAGTCTAGAAAATGGAGGTCGAACCACAGTAGTCACGTTTAGTCAATGTGCTGTAATTCTCCGTCAGCGTGGCGCAAAATATGTAAACAACGCCAGCCGTAGTGACCCAGCTGTCTTGTGGCTAAGACGCATAATATTGCCACACATAATTTTTCCACACACTACCACGCATTTCCAGGTTAAAAAGCGCGGAAGTCAAATATTGCGTGGATACATATGTTCCTCTCATATATAAATCGTACATTTTGTAAATATGGGCTTATGTAGGGTCGCAATTTACCTTTTTTTGTCAAGAATCCGTCACCGCATTCCTTTCAAGATGGCGGCTCTGCTGTAGAGGCCATTGACCTTAATTAACATTCTGGGAGTACTTGTTTGTATTTTAAGCAAGGACATATAACAGTATAATGTCCTTGGTATTAGATTCAGATGTCACACATGTGTTTCTTCAGATGAGGTGCCTTATATAGTTATACTTAGTTATATTGACCTTATGTATTAAGCTAGATTCTGGGGTGTGACAACTGACAATGCACTTGATTGTTATCGCATACACAGGTAAACCGCATTGATTCAATGGCACAAACTGCATAAGACTGGACAGGAAGGTTTGAACCACTCTTTTCCAGAAATGCATCATGTTCTTGTAATAACATGCGTGGAGTGTGGCTCTACTAGTAAGTCTAAAACACAGGAACTCCATTGAACGTCCTATTTGACTCATTTTCACCAGCGTCAAGTAGGATTTGTAGAATACAAATCAATGTATAAAATTGTATATCAATACATAATAATATGAATATATAGTATATCTTCGTATCTGGAAGCATAATGATAAATTATCTTAATGCCATTGGTGTATCTTTACCATTTCCTAATTGATATTTGCTTGATGCCATCAACAGGACGTGGGGTCATATCGAAAGCTAAATTACGATTGTACCAGTGGCCTATACATACTACTACCTCTAGCCATGGAGTCAGAAATCAGAAGATTTTTTTACTCCATGCTCCAGCCAAGCCCATTAAGCCAATCACGTCACATAGGCCACTGAATGCACCAGGTTAGATGGTTACATGAATAAATAATGTCTTAGGTACAAGGGTATAGGAGATGGCAGCCACAGCTTACTTACTAGTTGTATGTTACTAATACATGTAACATTTCATTGTATAGACTGCCACTGTGGCAGAGTCTAACGTTATATATGATTGGTGATTGCCAACAACTGACCTGTACTTGAGCCCATTGGAGCAAAAATGTACATTTAGGCCACACCAATTTAATTTGTTGGTTCTCGGATTTTTTTCAGAAGAAATATGAAGGGACAGGGCGAAAAAAAATAAAGATAAAAACAGGTCTAGGCATCCTATTATAGGCTTAAATGCTACAAAATGAGCCATGAAGTCAACACAAAAGGCTGGGTTAAAATTTAAACATTGAATTTTGAACTTTAATCAAACCACTGCAATGATAGATGGGAAAAACTNTAACAACTAGGAAGAAAAGGACTTTCCTCAACTGTTGGGAGGCAAAACATGAGCATTTTTCAGTTGATTCAGGACCAGAATCAATTTTTTTTTTTTTTTGCAAATCAGAAAAAAATGAATAGGCGAATCCGAGAACCAACAAATTAAATTGCTGTGGCCTTAACCCTTGTCCTGCTGGCAATTTTTACACATTATTTTCAAATAATTTCATGTCTTAATCAGGTCACAGACCCTTGACTTTTTTTGCCCTGCGGCGGCGTAGTAACTTCCGCATTCGTTGCGTTTCGCTGCGGTGTGATGCGTTGCACGAGAAACACCCCCAAATCGTACATATACAGGGCACTATATAGATGGTACTGTATGTACAACCCATATATATATGGGCCCCGCAGGACAAGGGTTTTAAGACTTTTAATATTAAAATATTAATGTGCAGAAAGTACAGGGCACAGTCACCATCTGAAGAGCACATTGATTGGTTATATTCTTATACAAACATGTTCTAACTGCATGACTGCTACTCCCAAAAGTTAACATTTGACCTTTGCACTTCTTTCCCTGACAAGGTCAATGACCTCTGCAGCAGAGCTGTTGAAAGGCCCAGTACAAGCAGGTTAGGTTCAGACAGACATCAGAAATAGTCCAATACCTGCACATTACAGCGCCTGCATTAAGGTGTGTCTGTGCATCCAGTACTACAATGTACTAGTAATTTGAGCCCTGGTACTTAAAAAATTGAGTTCAAATAAAATTGTCCTCTTTTTCCTACCTGTATATTTCACATTTGTATTGATATTATTATTATTATTAATTTAGTTTGTTGGTTATCACAGGGCAGTAGGGCAATGGGTCTACAATGGACTACAGCCGTCTGATCCCCTGCTGCCAGCCTTGTGTATCACACATCACCATTCAGGAAGACCGACAACAGTGCCAGCTGATCCCAACTCAAGAGGCGAAGGCATCCCAAAGGATCCCCAAGCATAGTAAAGTAGCAAAGTAACAGCTCTTCAAGGTAAGCAAAATTTATAACCATTTTTGTGTACTTTAATTGAGTGTAACGTTACTAGTAATAGTGTCACGAATGGTGTCACGAATCATAAGATTGGCAATGAAAACACACATTGCCATGGTGACGGTTTTTGTTTGCATGGCCCTTTAGTGAGTGCCTCCAAACCAACTGAAAACAGCCTTTTTCTTGGTATGTGTGGATAAATGCTGGTATTTTCCAGCTGTAGAGTTAATAACGTTATTTCTTTTTCTATTTTGTTGAAAAAATGGCTTATAGACTTGTTTTGGCTGCCTGATACAGCTCTAATTTCTAAAAGCAATGCCATGTATTTTTGTTTTTTGGTGGTCAACAGGGGGTCAGAGGTCATGATCTCAGTGTTTCCAATTGGATTGTACTTATCTTTGGGGCAAATGCCAGGATTATGCGCATGCCCAGCCAGAGGGCCCCAAGTGGGTACCCCACCATACCGCATGTACAAAAACAGTGTAAAATGTCTTAATGTTGGGATCTGTTGCTTTTTTGGAGCTGGATGTTATAGGTAAGGGTTATTAAAGGGTTAATGCACTGCCCCGAGTTGTATATGGTGTCATAACTGCATGAGCAGCTGCCATAACCACCGAATAAACCACCGTGTGAGCGAAGCGAACGAGGTGGTTTATGAGGTGGTTATGGCAGCTGCCCATGCAGTTATGACACCATATACAACGAGGAAAAGGCAGTGCATTAAAATTATTATCATATAGCCTATCCAAACTGTCAATCAACACAATTCCTGTTTGAAATACAACAGCTTTAATATATATACATGCATAAAAATACATTCGAATATATTATACGCTTTAAAACAAATATGGATAATTTCATTTAATGCAAATTGTAGTTTAAATGAAGCTAAACAAAAAAGTTTATTGGACAGAAAAATGCTACAAAGGTTTACAGAAAGAGTCGCATGCCCCTATACCCTATAACATAATGGTATCAGCCATAACACGACATGTGCTGTTATTCCGCCATAACACCACATGTGCTGTTATCGGGAAATAACAGCACGGGTATCCGGGCCTCTGATTGGTCCACGCCGTCCGGCTATATGATAATTCAGTTTAAAGCAGGCTTGAAGCATATGTCATATGAAACCTGACCTCTGACCTCCATTCCTTGATTTTTGTGATTTTGACCTTGAACGGCTAGGACTTTGAGTATAGGACTATGACTCTGTTTTGATGAATCAGACTTTTATGTTTACTGTATGTTGTCTCACTGTATGTTACAATGTCTTGTGTAATTTTACTGGGCCTCCTTGGAAAACAGCTGATACAAGCTGAATGGGGCTACCCAGCTGTCTTGAGATGAAATAAATAAATAAATTTGCATTTGAGGCCACCCCAATTTAATTTAGAAAAATAATGGGGCGGGCGGGCAAAAAAAAATAAAATAAAAACAGGCCTAGGCATCCTATTATGGCCCAAAATGGTACGATAGGAGCCATGAAGTCAACACACCAGGCTGGTTCAAAATTTTAATAATGAATTTTGAACTTTTGATTTTTAATTGAACCTTAATTGTAATGATACAATTACATTGAAAGATGGAATAACTGTAACTTCTAGGATGAAAAGGACTGTTTTCAACTGTTCAGGGCAAAATATGAGCATTTTGCAGTTGATTCTGAATTTTTATTTTTATTTGCAAATCAGAAAAAAATGAAGCGGGCGAATCCGTTAACCAAGAAATTGAATTGGTGTGGCCTGATTATGTAAAAAAAAATGGAGTTTGTGCCATGTTTGGGGTGTCCAGGCCAGGAAAGAAGTCCTGAGTTTCCATGCTATCATCAGCTGGTGATAGAGGTCAGAGGTCACTTCTGAAACTTTGAAAGTTAGATGCCTTAAGCAGTATAGGATTTTTTTATATTAACAAAATTGACAGTTTAGATGCAGAGTGACCCTATGAATGTGTGTTTTTGGTGCAGTTTCACTCAGGCAGGTGACTTTTCACACCTTCTTTCTTACATGTTTTCCATGCATTTCAATAGGACAGTCCATTACTGGTCTTTGCCCTTTGCTGGTCAAAGTGTGAAATTTTGTAAGTGAAACCTGAGACCCTTGAGATTGTGGCAGTGTTGCAAATTGTTGCTAGTGTAAGATCCTAAAGATACCCCCCTACCAGTACAATAGGCCAGTCCGGTGACCCCCAGAGGTCACCTGTCAGAACTAGCTAGAACCAGTTCAGTTCCAGACATGTGTCTGACTTCTTGAATACAGACCTTGCCAGAGCCTCATCTCTCTCTGCGTCTCGTCTCATTTCGATACCCCTGGGGTGGGGGACAGGGCCAAGGAACGGTTCGTTACACTGGTGGCAGCGGTGGGATGCCTGTCCCTCACCCCGGAATTCCAGCATGATGAGCGGGAGAAGAAGACGTCGCCATGATGCCATGTGCTGCCCTCCCCCCACTGTGACACTGCAGCCATGACGTGACTACAGCGCAGCTGTTTCCTTTAAGTTTTTTTTTGTTGTTGTTATAATTTGTTGATGATCGTGACTGAGAAACACACGTACGTCGGCGGAACTCCAACGAGCCCCTTCCCGACGGGAGAAGAAACAACGAAGGACGTCGAGATTTAGCAGACCTGACTGGAAGACACTTTGTTGAGGCGGGAGGACGGATTCGTGACTCGGTCCTGGGCAGAAATGCCCCCAGCATTCCACTGGAAAAGTTCCGAAGTTACGGACACCCCTACCCCAAATCTCAATTCGGCCATGCTTGAGCACGCAGCCGAGTCGGATATCGACATTTTCTCTGAGATTGGAGTATTGGAGATGCCTCCCCCCCCCCCCCAAAGCCTCGACTTTCGGCCCTGAGCAGCCGAGCGGGCAACCCCGACACAGCCAGGAGGCGGAGCCAGCATGGCGGAACTTGCATGGCGGAACTGTAGCCGGTTTTTGGACGGAACCGGTGAGGTGGAGCTAGCAGGTGGAGCAGCAGGCGGAGCCAACAAGGCGGAGCTGTAGCCGGCGTGGCGTAACCGGCGAAGCGGAGTCAGTGAGACTGTTAAAACTACCTCCATGGTTAAAACAAGGGACTGCCGGCGTGGCGTTTTGATGATGTAACGATGTGTTTTGATGATGTTTTTGACGATGTTTAAAATTATGCCGATATTGTATTTTGATGATGTTTCGATGATGAATGTTATGTTTCTATGATGGCAATGCTCCGTAGTCACAGTATTGTGTACTATATTCATGTCAGAGTTCGACAAAGTATGGTACAACTATGTCAGGTCGTGACGGCTATTTTTTTTTTTCTCTTTTTATTGGTTAACACATATAGATAGGCGATCAGTGCCATTTAATTCAAGTTGGCATCTGT